AGTCATGAATTACGTTTGTTGAACAATATCTAATAGCAGTTAAATAATATTATCGAATTTTTCAGGACATATTTTGTCAGTTAACCAAATTAAAATGTGTACTTCGAGGTAATCCTGGACTATTTGTGTTGCTTTGAACGATATAATTTGAAAGCGTGGATTTAATGTACGAATGGATTTCAGAAACAGATTTGACCGTACCCATAAGTAAAACGTTTAATGGTTCAGATGATGCTTCTGTTACTGGTAGTTGCACTTTTCTTGATGTGCAACACATCTCGACCGCCTCATTTTTGAAGCCATTGCCTTTTAGCTCGTTTCAGTCTCTTATGATTGAGTTTCACACAATTACACTACACTCACGTGTATATTCATACTATCGGATTGGATTTGATTGTCTCTTTTTTGCTCTCTTCTATTTCTCATGTTTATGGCTGCATATGTTCAAGAACCCAAATGGTCCCTTTGAGTCTTGCATCTTGTCTAACCTGGCATTTTTTCTCGGTAAAATACGATTGAGAACGCTCGAGGTTTTTTTTTTTCAACGTTGCCAAATGTAATCGATCGATAATATGATTACAATAATATGTTGATATTTATCGGACTTATATCGAATTAGCTGGATATTAATAGTAAATTAGGTACTAGATACGAGATAATAATGGTTAGGCTTTGCAGTCGTCGCACAAAATATTCGTCAATATAATACAGGTATACTACATAGCATATTTATTTTAATATTTATTTCATTTTTATACATAAATATTTCATAATTCTATAAATTCTACATATTTTACAATTTTTTCATACATATATACACTACACAGATATTAGATATTTTTATAAGTTCTACATATTTTTAATTTTGTATTCATATTATACATTACATATTATTAGGCGCTTATTTTTATACGATTATAATTATTAATTTATGACTTTTTTCAAGAATATTTATTGTATGTATATTGAATTTTTCAAAAGCCAAATAAATGATATGGCAAACTATGGCAACGTTGCACATAAATTCGTTCTCAATCGTATCGTTTTTTGGTTTTTTTTGGGGGGGGTTAAGCGGTTTGTTCTTTGTTAATTTAAAGTGTTTTCAATCGTTCGGCCAAAAAGGTATAACGATCTTTATCGTTCGATAACCTTGTTTCTTATAGAACAATTTTTTTCTTTATATATATACACACAATATTATAAACTTATTACAATATGCAGATACCATGGATATTAAGTCGATGATTCCGCATATATTAGTATATAATTTATACATTTGAGGTGGGCCACTCTTAACACTAAAGGGTTTAAAAAATTGTACAAGAGCTATTATCAGACCTACCAAATATACATAAAAAAAAAATTCATGGAATTCGGTCAAGCCGTTTCGGAGAAGTTTAATAATAAACAATGTGATAGGAAACTATTATATATAAGATATACGAATATATTCACCATGGAACGTTTTAAGAATGCTATACGATTTTTTTTTTTTTTTTTTTTACGGCATATTTACATCAAACACTTTAGATTATTTCGGATTTGAAATCAAGAAATCAATACAACTAAACCCTCAACAACGTGGATATAATGATACATAATAATATACGCACATTTGAGAATGGAGGTAAACCTTGTTAACCACACTTTATGTGCTCTGTTACTTGACAGTCTGATAGTGAATTTTAAAAATACTTACTCTTATATTGTAGTAAAATTGTTCATTATCTAAATAAATCTACCATTTATTCGAATTTGAAAGATGATTTTCGAATCATTCAAAAATAAAAAAGTTAAAAGTTTTTTAGTTTTTAGTATATTATATGTTATATACCCACCGAAGGTTGGCACACTATTGTTGTAAAGGGTCGACCGCGGGAGACTGTCTCGCGGTCGCCACAAACAAAAGTTATCTATAAGGGGTTGACTGTGGAGGACTGTCCCGCGGTCACCCCAAATAAAGATGTAAAGATTAATAAACGATGGTGATCCGCCACCTGAAACACTGCTTAACGGTACTTCCATGTAGGAACTGAAACCTATAGGTTCTTTCGGTTTCAGTTTCGGTTTCGGCTTTTTAAAAAAGTAAGGGTTCTAGAACCGATTAATTTCGATTTACTCTGATTATTATAAATGTATTAAAAAATAATATGAAATTATTTATTTATTCTTGTTTAAATTGTACTTGTTGTTGTTCATTTCATGATAATAGAAGATATTATGAATAGTTAAAAAAAATAGTTATATATATATTATATCAGCCTATTATATTTCTTTAAGCCAGGTTAAGTTATTTTATTCCAACTCATAGTAAGAATTTGTAAAATATTTTGTAATATTGTGAAATATTATGATTTTATGAAATAATTAATTTTAATTAGGAATCAAAGTTAATACTGGCTACTGTTGTAGCTACAAATTAGTATAAACATTAATTATAATTTAATTATAAAGTAATTAATACTTAATAGAAAAGATATACTATAGATTAATGATATACTCATTGTAAATTGTAATATATTAATAAACATACAAAAAATAATAATAATAATAATATTAAAAATTTAATTATTATATGCATTACACTATTATAGTTAACAAAACAAAATAATAAAAACATAAAAAGATTTGACTTTTATTTTTGTGATCTGACAAATGGATAAACAAAATAGTCATTACCATAGTTTTACTGTACATGGCCGTTTTCGACCAAAAACGTACCCTTCTCTTTTCGGCTAATTCACTTTTCGACCAAATTTAAAATAGGCCAATTCCGTTTTCGCTCAAAACAAAAATTTATATAATAAATTTAAAACAATGATGTACAATTGTTGTCAATAATTATTAAAATATTAATATAAAAGAGAACGATATTTTGTATCTAGTTTTGATCTCTTATCGTAATGAAAATTGTTTGCATTTTTTTTCGAAAAATTGGAACTTTAATTTTAAAAATTTTAGAACTTCGCTCGTTACACTTGCCGGCTTCACTCACAAACTCAAGTACCACTGCATGGCACTTTTCGGGGGGATGGAACTTCGCCCCAGAGGGAATTATAGTCTAAGCCTAACCTAGTTAATATATAATCCTTGATACTGTTGTAATAGTGGCGGCTCGTGTATATGTGCGGAACGGTATCAGTGTGTGTTATAGTGGTGCAGTAGTGCACACTATTGCTGTGCACATTTGTACAATGTAAAAATTAAAATAAGTCGAAACATATATTTAAAGTGGTTTCCATCATAATCAAACATTGTATATCATTAATTTATTATTTTAAATGTATTATATAAATTTTTGTTTTGGTCGAAAAGGGTATCGGCCTATTTTAAATTTGGATGAAAAGTGAATCGGCCGAAAAGGGAAGACTACGATTTTGGTCGAAAACGGACTCGCCTGTTTTACTAGTCTAAATAACTGATCTAAATTAACCCTTTCATAACTAAGGTTATGGTTACGGTTACGGTTTTTCATTTATGGAAATAAAGGTTCCTGATTCAGTTATGGTTCCTAAATTTTAAAGGTTAACCGGCTCCAGTACCAGTTCTTTTCGGTTACGGTTCTGGTCCCTGCTTCCATGTGGCAAGTGTGTTGCCGATTTTCGGAAAAAAAAATAAGTATATTATACCTAATATTTTTTCTTATATTATTAAACCGATATCCATAATATATTATTAAAACTTATTAGTAACTCTCCATTGTAACAAACAATTTCCTGATGTTTCATTGGATTTAGTGACTGGGAAAAGGGTAGGTTATATTTTACTAATACTGTTTTTGAAGCAATTTTCCTTTAAAATGCTTGTGAAAATATATTGATGATAGATTTTAAAATTATTTCATTCTGATTTATAGCACTTACAATTCTGTTTCTTGCAACAATCGAACGCAGTGGCATAAATAGGAGTGGTGTTTGTTGGTTGTAACCCTCATCCCCTAAATTTTTCTGAGATTTTTACAAATTCTTCATAGAAAAAAAAATGGTTTATCTTGAACACACGAAACGGCTGATTGATATGAAATATGAATATAATTTGTAAATTTGTATTATAATTGATAACAATAATAACATGATGATATGGAACGTTTTTTTCAACTTTAAAACATCAATAACCTTGCTACTACGATTTCTTGATATTTGATTGCATAATACTTTTTTTTGTGATATCACAATATGAAATAGAAGTTAAACAGAACATAAACCTAACTAAATCTTACTTCCTTATCCCTACCAAACATCAGCAGAAAATACTTATTTTTCCAAATTCAAACCCCCCTGATTTTTTTATACTTCCACAATTGAACTTCATTATTTTCTCTTTCTGTTTAATAATTGACGATAATGTATTTGGTGGAATATTGAATTCATAGGCGACTTCACATTTTTTACGGTCACCTTTTTCAACTAACTGTATTCAACGAACTTTGTCCGAAAGTGAAAGAACATTTAATTTACGCTTATTTTCTATTTTACTACTTTACAAACAAACAAACGAACTATTTTAATACTACAAACGTGACTACCAACGCGCTAAATCACAATCGCTATACTGCAAAATGTATGCAACGTACTGCACTAATGTATTGCACAGTTCCTGTTTTAATCGTGATAATTATATTATTTATGAACTCGAGATAATGAAAAACGATTAATTTTATATCCTGTTATCGAGAGCAAAACACTATTAAGTGTAATAGTAGTTTCAAGAGAAATTTAAAGTAGTTCGAGATAACGAAAAATTCGAAATAGCGACGTTCGTCATATTAAGAATCCACTGTATTAGTATTCAGTGAATGTATTTTAAGTCTCTACAAATATCATTTTTTTAATCACAAACATAATTGTAAACAAATATAAATAATCATAATAGGTATTAATGCTGTTGTTCTTGATATTTTTGTTGTTATTGTTAATGTGTATAATAATGCAGTAGTTATATAATCTATTAATAACAATAACATTTTTTTTATTTCTGTGCACGTGTATTGATTTCTGAAGAGACGCGGTTCAAAACGGACACATCGAATCCTCCAGAATCCGTTTGCAGCTTACCATGCCAAAAAGGACAAGCTAAGCAATATCTAGAGGGTGAAAAATGTTGTTGGCATTGTTTAAACTGCACACAATACCAGGCAAGATCACGTTTTAATAAACAAAAATAACAATAATTGTAGTGCTGTAGAATTATACAATTCATTAGTTCGTGTAAGTAAGAGAACTATAATAATATCTAGAAAATAAGAAAAAAGGATCGCACATGATATGACACGTAGTTATTTTCTTAACGTTATTAATGTATAAAAAATATATTTGTTCTATTTCCACTCTATCACAATTATTAAGTGGTTATCGTATTTTTTTAAATTCTACATATATTTATATATATAAATTAAAATTGAATTTTTTTAGCTCTTCTAACGTCATAGGATTCGGTGGAGCAGGACTTTCAAATTGACTTGTTCGTTTTACTATTCTTTTAAGTTGATTTATTGGTGGTAATTTACCTGCAATTGCAGCATCAACCTAATTAAAAATAAATATTAGTTTTAATTGAATTTTATAATTATTAACTATTTACTTTTGATATTATTGTTCCAATGACACCATGAGTACTCAGTTGAAATATTTTCGCCACTTCCTTCAAATCATACATATATTTTTTACATTTTAATTTAGGTACCTACATCAGGCACATGATTATGCTTAACATATTTAATAATTTTATAATTTCTTGTGTGAACGCGACCGCGGCAAGTAAATTTTTTATAATCACAACATTTTCAAATAATTTTTTCGTCGCCATTTTTTTCTTTTCGATGCACATGATTATTGTGAATTATTAATTTTTATTCTTTTGGCTTAAAGTATAATTTAGCAACATTATTAAAATTTTAACAAAGCACTCCGTACACGGCCGTAACATATGGCTAACACGTACAAATTGTATCAAACGTTTACACTATTGCATAACTTAACAAGATAAAATTTTAATTATTTTTATTATCTTAACTAAACAAGTTATTTACCAGTCCAATATAATATTGTACTTATTTGATATATGTACTGCTGTACCTACAGTCATTATACAAGTTCTTTACTCGTGCAATTTTATTAAATTGATACCTGTATGGCTGTATGTAAGCTGTGGTAAGATTACCAATTTCTTAGTAATTTGTTTTATATACCTACTAGCATACACTGTACATACTTTACGATATGATATCGATCGTAATACATTTTTACATATCAAATTTTAGAAAATATACCGATTTTGCTGCAATTTACCAGAGATGACCAAATGATACACGATGATTTTCACTGCGACTATTTTGCCGCGACCAAAGTTCCGCGTCGAAATTACTACGCTTAAATTACATAGAACCGTATTTTACTTCATTGTAACGAGGATATAGTATAATCGTGTTAATACCATAACGATAATTTTATTGTAATCGATCATATACGACCGGTGTACTATATAAACGCATAAATATCCTGCGATACAAACGTACTCACCATGTACTCGTATTTATGTGTTAATTATCGTTTCCTAGTAATATTCCATCGTTGCATATAGTAATTTACCACATGAAATTACAACGAGCTCGTAGAAATTGATAAGTGGAAAGCACCATACGGACTTTCACATTCCAAATCAGCCCTCTACCCCCACCCCCAAAAAAAAAAAAAAAGTAAATAAAAATCCTAACATTTTACTGATGTTAATGTATGTATGTTTAAATGTATTGGATTTAAGCTTTTTCTCCATTCGGCATTGTAAAATGAACATTTGAATATTTTTTTTTACTTAGTGCTATGAAATATATCTATATCTTTTTATAAAACTGTTTAATATTCATAATTTTAACTCTCTGGTTATTAAAAATTCTTCTTTTAACTACATTATTATACTCCATAATTGTAAGTATACAAAATATATAATAAACTTATCAATAGCGCCGGATCGCCAAAATAAAGGTGTAACAACATTTCATTATGACACCCACCCATGGGTACATTTGAGAGAGTGTTAAATACTCATCTTCCCCCCAAAAAAAAAAAATGTCTATCCCTCAAAAATTCACTGCACGTCAATCAAAGTTATAGTATAGGCCTGAAAGGTTAAAAATTGCAATCTCCCAACATTGCAACTCAAATTACTCATAACTGTTGAATTTAAATTAATTTTAAATTGCAGTTATGTTATATTTTATTTATTTAATTAATAGTTGTATATATATATATATATATATATATGAATTTCAAATTAGAGCACGGGCAAATTAGTTGTTTTTTACATTTTTTTTTCTTTTTGAGTTAGTAATTTGTATTTAATTTTTATTGGAAATTAGCGACAAGTTAGTAATGACTATACTAATTTTAGATTTAACATTTTTTTCGTTCACTCCGTTATTATTTATAGAAATACCATCAATTTTAAAGTTTAATTTTACTAAATTTTGTTTTCAAATGCAAGTCTGTTGTCTTAACGTTACATTCATAAATATATATTATTTGTCTGAATATTTTGCTCTGCATAATTTTACAAAACGACATTATTCAGACTAACAAATTTATCTCAAGAATAAACTAATACTAACTCATAAATAAAAATATATGAGTATATTTAAAATGTTAATATTTTACCGGGTGCTGAAATCTGATTATAAGTCACGCGCAATTTTAGTCGAGCTTGCAAACTTTGTATTCCTTTTGTGTACACGTGAAATTTGATCAGAAAATAATACATCGCGTAACGTGTTTGTTGTGTATCTGTTCGTGTTGATTGTGGCTACAAAGTGCATGCCAAGTTTTCAAGTGGTTGAACTTAACGATTGTATATATTGTTATTGAATTCGGACGGTGACGCGAACCGCTTTATTCCACATATATTTACTTATATAATATTATTACAACGAATCGCCACTATAAATTTCATCAGATTTAACTCAATTTAGTTGCTGTACTGTTGTGGAACAACTAAATCTATAATTTGCACAAACATTCTTCGTCGTACATTGATAATCGAAATGTTTGCATACTTGAAATCATACCGCATGATCATATATTTAGGTACTTTGAATACAGTTCACAGCTGTCTTCAGAACTAATTGATACGCCAATTGGTTGAAATAATTTTTATCGTCTAGACGAGAATTCAACTTCCAGATAAAACATTAACTTCATACCGTTGATGTTAAATTATTTAAAGAAACTGTATTCTGGTGTTGAAGTTAATTTAAAACGTTCATTATTTAAGTATAATACGATGAAATATTCCTCCAAATCACTTTCTAATTATAAATATATATATAACATAGACATAAACGGATACATGATAATTAAATATTTGATTCGTTCCAATTGCATATACATTTTATTATATTTTTATTGTCCGTTACGCGGAAAAAATAATTTCAATCGTTTCAAAAAACTTCTGAACTTAATTCTCTTACATAAGTCATTGTACGTTTAGGACGAAATGATTGAGACAAAATTTCAAAAAAAATATGTTTTGCATGAATTTTACTATTGCAAAATTTTTTTTTTTTTCACTTATATATTATTACTGCCAAACGATTTATTCATTTATAAAACATACAAATCCAAATGTATTGAACCTATTTTTTTTTAACTATGTCTTATAAAACTTTTAGACACTAATAGAAAATGTTTTAGATATAAATTTTAAAAAATTTTCATTTTTGCCACTCACTTGATGCTATATATAATCATATAATCTTATAAAAAAAATTAGTTCATAATAATTTTTTCAAACCTTGTTGAAAAATACGTTAATAATAATTATAAGTTATCGATAAAAGTAAATTTTTAGATCCTACATTATTTTTCTCTTACCATTTGACAATATGATTAAAATGTTTGTCAGTTTTATCAATAATTGTAACCCATTAAACTTTTACTCGGTACCCATATTTCAAGAACCCATAAATAGCCTATTAATCTTGTTGAGAAAGAACTTAAATGTACCATCGACTTATTATAAAGCTCGGGTGATGTACTCTTTTCTATCGGTGCGTGTAAATCGTAATTATTAGCATAGTATCGAAATTATTATATGCCCGTGCAATGATATATATGAATATGTCTTACATTTCTGTCTTGATCGTCCCTTACGGTCATTATATATTGTGTATCATTAATACTAATAATATCATTACAATATATTGCTTACATACAGCATCTATATTCGATCGAAGAGGTCCATAGTCGTGTTTTATATGTTTTTAAATCGTAATCTATGCCCACATAACTAATTCTACACATTGTTTACAATAATAGACTGAAAATATCGAAATAAAAATGATCGACCATTGTTTAAACAACGTTTTCAGATCCGATCAGTCATCGACGAGACCCTGTGTGAGATGTGCCCCGAAGGAACGCTGCCCGATGTTGAGCATCAACAGTGCTTGGAGATACCGGAAGCATTTTTGCAGGCTGGAAGCAGCTGGGCCATCGGAGCTATGACATTGTCGACCGCGGGCGTGGTCGTCACTATGCTGGTGGTCGCTGTGTTCGTCAAGCACAACCACACGCCCATCGTAAAAGCGGCCGGCAGGGAAGTCTCCTACGTACTCCTATCCGGCATACTGTTGTGCTATCTCATCACGTTCGTGCTGGTGCTCAAGCCCACCGACATCGTTTGCGCCATACAGAGGTAAGGTGGAATCCTGATGATAATATAATTTAAACACGTGCATTTTCTCGTACTTAAAAAAAAAAAAACCTTTAGAATTCCGAATTTTAGTCTTAAAATTTAGACGTTCCAGCTGTGGTATAATATACCATGGGCATTTGTTCAGGAATAACAAGTTAACTACCTTCTATAATTATAAGTAAAAAAAAATATTTTAATTAGTTTTCAATAAATACAGATATAATATATTTAATATAACATAATATTTATTGAAAACTAATTAAAATATTTTTTTCATTTATAATTGTAGAAGGTAGTTAACTTGTTATTCCTGAACAAATTCCCTTAGAAACACTCCCCTCCCTCGTTATCACGATCTGAATCCACCTCTCTGAGTACAGCATGCCACTACACAGCTTCGTGCGGACAATATGTAGCTATCGCGTCCCTAATAATGGTGTGTGTATTTTTCGTTACCATGCACCTTGTATAAAAACTGTTGCCCCAATTGTATTATGGGACGAATAGAATCTACAATTTAAACCATTCCACGCACGAAATTCCCAAGTAATTCGGCGTGGTACGTGACATCTTCTTTATCGATGTATGTTTACATGATACGAGAATTAGAACAAAAAAATAAAAATAAAAATAAAAATCATCTAATTCGTACATCAAACAGTATTATGTCCCGTGTACTATACATTTTTCAACAGATATTGCTAGACATTAGTATTCAAGTAAAACTTTATACTGAGTAATTGCCATGAGATAAAAGTTTAACCGTAGGTAAATAAGGTAATAGCTGAAAATACGTAATATTTTTACTGTAAGTGGGTGAAATATTTTTTAAACTTTTGATTACATTAAAAAAACAACATTAAGTATTATTTATTGTATTATGGGAAAGTATGATAGTCTAATTATGGAATTAATAATATGACCAAGATGAATCAAGGCTTTTTTAGGTAAACACCTAGCTACTTCGGCAGTTATGAGGTCAAATCCTGGATATTTCTTAAGGGAGTATTTATTTATGGCAAATTTGATATCATTTGGCATGAAATGTTTGATAGGAATAGATGGCAAGTAAGAAAAGGAGATAAGATAATCTTCCACAACACTAATAATAGTTTGAGAGTAAATATCAGGATGAGGTTTGAAAAATACCAGATAGGTGTACTTTAAAAATATCAGCTTTATCAGAGTCAGAGATGACACAACTTCCATCCGGATTTTTAATTGGTAGATTAGAGATTTTGAATTTACAAATATTTATAGTCGCTCTCCAAAGAGTGCCATCTTTTGGTGAAAATTTGGAAAGTTTCAGTTTTATGTTTTGCCGGCATTTTTTTGAGATGATTTGATAATTTATTGTATTTGTGCTTATGAGAAGGAAGACGAGTTCGTTGAAAGTTAGCTGTAGCTCTACATATTTCTACTATTATACAACGAATGTATTCTTGAAGAAGAGGGTTATGAAATTAAGTTTGAAATTTTGAGGTAGAAGACCATGCCACAGATTGAATAAGTTTTGTAAAATTATTTATAGCGAGGTCGATGTCATAAGTTTATTTTAGTTTTACATTTAAATTTATTTGTTGGTTAACAAGATCATGAAATTTGTTTTTATCTATAGTGGGTTTAAATAATTTAGGAGATTCAGGACGTGCCAGAAGGAATGCTCTTATATTTAATAAGATTGAGGAGTGGTCGGAACTTAATTAAAGTAAATTTTTGGTATTGCAGTTTAAGTATCTTGGTCATAAAGATATCTATAATATCGAGGTTTTTGCGTGCTGCGACGGCTAATAGGTGGGACCTGGAGAAGACAAAATTTTTTAATCATTAGTTGATATGAAATTTTGTAGAACTATTCCATGTGGATTATTAACACGATATCCCCAGGTCAGGTGTTTTGCGTTATAGTCACCTCTAACTAACAAAATGTTGTTAATTGTGTTAAAGTAGTCAGGAAATTTAATTAGTAATCTTGTGTTTAGGAGGAGAATATACAGTTGCTATGGTGACCGAGACATTATTTATTTTTGTAATTAAAGCACAGGATTGTAAATATTCTTGGCAAAAATTTTGGAAAGGTTGATAAACCATTGAATATTTAATTATATTGGAAACTCCATTGTATTATCAGGGTGATTTGTTTTTAATACTTTGTAACCAGGAATGTTAATGTGTGAATATTTGGTGAAATGTGTTTCGGTTATAAGAGCAATGTCTAAGCGCTTATTGTATATTACAGTTTCTAGTTCATTAATATGATTTTTCAGGCCATTTCCATTGAATTTAAGGATTGAGATAGATTTGTTAGTGATATTATTAGTAGAAATTTATATTTTATCAAGTAATTTTGAGATTAACTTATTGAGAAGAGTGATAAGAGGTTCAATAATGGATTTGAACTCTCCGAGAAAATTTTTAAGGTCAAATATAGTGGTAGGATCTGTATTGATAAATTCACCAGAGGTGGCTTGAGCGTAAGTGGGTATGTGGTTAAATGATTGATTTATAGAAGTTTTAGTTAATGGGTGGCTATCTTTAACAGTTATATTCTGATTTATAATATGATCTGATAAAAAGTTACTATTGGTGATAGGTTTCCTACCCCGTCGAAACTCCCTGTATACTGAGCATCCCTTGTAGCTGGCAGGATGATCTCTAGAACAAAGTGCCTATATTGGTGGAACATCGCGTGAATTTGGACATGAGGCAGACTAATGATAAACCCTACACCGAACACATCGTGAGGGGTAGCCACAAAAAGTTTTGGTGTGGTCATATTCCTGACAATTATTGCACTGACTGATCAATTTTGGCTTGTATGGCTCTTCAATTTTAACTTTGATATGTTATATCGAAAAGAGTTGAAATATTTCACTTGATTTAGGGGTTGGTTTTAAATCAACCAAGAAAAGAGATAATTTTATCTTGGTGATTCTATGGAGAACATTTGTTATG